ATTTAAAAAAAAAAAAAAAAAGTATTGCATTTAATTAAAGTGAACATTGTTTGGTTTCTTTTGTAAGATTTTTCAATAGCCAGAAATAATTTAAGAAAGGGAAATTCCCCGTTACATTGCTTAATCTATCTTGGTCAATTAGTTTTGCAGGGAAGCATCTGAATTTTCCAACCCGTCTTACATGTTTGGTTTGTATTAATTCATGACAGAAAGACCAAACGTTGATGTAAATGCTTTTGTAATTAATTTCTGAAACTTTTATGGAATGAGAGAAGCTGTCCTTATGGTTTATAGATTAATTAATTACACTTGTCAGAAAAAAGGTCCTTTGCACCTGTAACACAAGCTGATGTCAAGTCAGCAGGAGATTTGTTAGGCTGCATTGAAATTGAAGATATACCAAAGTGGACGGTCCCCATTTCCTTGCAAACTGGAAAACAGCAGGCTTTCCAGCTGTCTGATTTTTTTTTTTTTTTGCAGCTAATCTTATGATCATTATATATATTACATATGAGCTAGGCATTTCTATGGGCAATTCTATTGTAAGTTTGCAAGATTATTCTTTTTTCTGTTTTGTTCTCTTGTATGTGTGTGTTTTAATTTCCAATTTCTTTCTTAGAGGAGATATCCAATATTTCACTGAAATACTATTAGAAGAGCAGATTAGAGTTTTAAACTAGGGTTAGATGTCTGGAATAGTAGAAAATCATTCTTTTAGGACATTTTATGAGGAACCAGTGGCCTAAAACAATTTAACAAAGGTTGCACTCCAGTCCCGCTGAAAGGCTGGAATTCTGCGTATGCTTACTTAGCAATGATCCCCTTTGAATAGACTAGGGCTTTCTTCATGAACCTCATTGGATGGTTCTGTGTATCTTGGATAACTTTGGGGTAGCAGTTTGGCGTCTGTATTGTTGCAGTAGATAATCTCAAAAAGCATCTTAGCTGTGTAGGCTTGTAAGAGAATAAAGAATCTTTGTGAATGAAAATAAATTGTGTTTGTTCAGCAAAAAAGAGAAAAGAAAAGATAGGTTAAGCAAAATGCTATTGGTTCTTTGAAATAGAAGCTTGTATTGAGTTCAAATGTATCAAAAGTATTAAGTACTCATTAATCTCAACCTGGTTTGTGGTACATCATACTAATTCAGCAGCATTCTGGTGTATTCACATGTGTGGATATGTGCACACATATATCTGTGTGTGTGCATTATGACGTGCGTATGGAATTACACATTTCAGAATTAATGAATTAGCTGGGTTTTTATTGCCATTTGTATTGTCCAGAAGTATGATCTTTTCACAAACTCATTGGGACGCTTTTTTCAAGGATTTAAAGAAGCCCATATTTGATTTTATTATTTGGTGTTCATGTTATACTTTATAAGGTGCTTTTAAAATTGCCTTTTGCAACTTTAAAATTAAAAGCTAGGAAAAGCAGTATGCAGACTTTTGGCACCTGTATTACATCGTTGGATGGTTCTGAATTTGTGAGCTAAGTCAACATAATATGTCTTCACTCAAACAAAGTTGTCATATGTTTCAGAGGTTATGGTTTTGAAAAATTACCAATGAACCATCAGAGAGATACAGAGGTATAATGTGTTATACATAGAGTCTTTGATCGGAAGCAGACTATGTCTGCAGCTCTTTACTAGCTTGGTGGAAAACATGATCTGATTCGGATGAGTAGATTTTATTTGCTTTTATTAAAGTACTGTCTACTCTCTGAATTAGATATCTTTGTTCTGTTCCGCACTAAAATCATTACTGTTGGAATATATTGCAAAATCAAGTGAGAGGTAGAATTTATATAAAGGAAGAATTTCCAATGGTTTATATATGCATATATACTTTTCAGCAACAGAATACTCATAATTCTAGTTCAAGAGCAGGAGCTGATATGGATTTGTGGTGATTTCATTTAGAGCACTGAGCCCCTAAGTAACGTTCACACTTGAGATCAATACACTAAGTTGAGTGTACAGAAAATGAACAAGTACTGGAAAGGGAAAGTCAGAAAAGTTGCTCATTCTTTAACTTTCCTCTGTTAAAAAGAGTGTGTATGTTCTTCAATAAAAGAGGAAAGAGGATTTTGTTTGTTTTTAATAATCAAAGGAAAGAAATTAATTTTGTCAGAACTTTCTTGGTCAGCATAAAGATTTTTAAGACCAAAAGTCAATTTCTGTACTATCTTTTTGAAACAAATACTTTTGTTTTCATTCTAAATCATGGATCCTTGCGGTTCATCTTAATAAAATCTGGAGTTAAGTATTATATTCATGGATATGGGGAAATATGATCAAAGTCTGAAAAAATCACTTAAAGTTCAAGACAACATAATGTAATGGAAAAGAATAATAACTTACCTGCATATATGCTAGGGAGAAAATGAACCATTTAAATCTTACCAAGTATGACAAACCATATTTTGGGGTGTGTGATCATTTTAGAATTTATTTCTTTTTATTACTTTTCCAGAAATTCATTTCCAAAACAACTACACTATTTGTTGTAGTGAAGTCATAATGAAAAAAAAGAAAGGAAAGGAAAAAAACCAACCCATTAGTCATGTCTTGTTTATGTAGAATCCAACTCTCCATTTCCTAATTACTCTTTGATTCTTTAATAAACACAAAATTGGAACTGAAATGGAGTTGCAAAATAATTTAAAACGAAAGCAGAAGATATTCTTGTATTGGGAAAGCACCTCCATGGTGTTACCAGGTGCTCTGAGTTGAGCTATGAATCTTAAATATCTGGAAAAACACGATCATAATTAACCTAGGATTTGGTTTAGTTCAGAAGCTATGATTTCTTTAAGCTTGAGAAAGCAGGATCTGAATTCACTGTTTGATGCTGGTTTGAATATTATATTTTAACTCTGGCTTCACATATTGTATCTTTACAAGCATTACGTTGCCTTGTAATAAAATGTTGGAGTGTAAAATGCACTCCAACACATTCAATGTGCCAAACAGCCATGTCTTATTTTGTGAGCATGTTCACTGAGCATGCTCATTGAGCTGGTTTTATCCTCTACTGTAGGTACCTTTCAAAATAAATTTGGATGTATGTGTGTATATTTCATTAGGTTTTCAAAGCCTGCTGATATTTCCTCTTGATTGGTATGATTTTCACTATATAAGAATCTATTGGGACAATGAATTTCGAGGTAGTATACATAAGATTGGTTTTAGATCATTTACAAACCACAGTCAGAGCCACTGCTTTGCCCCAGGAGGCATTTTTGCACTGTAGAAGCTGAGTAGTTGGGAGATGGAAATCAAAACCAGACAAGCCAATGTGAGAAATTAACTAAGGTTAGCCCAAGCCCAAGTTCACATTGTGACTCAGTCTAGCTGGTCAACATGTCTTTTGTCATTGTGCATATTTTTAATTTCTTTACAGAGGAAAAGAGATATGATGATGTATATCATACCTAAAGGGGACGTGGTGGCGCAGCAGCTTAATGATGCTGAAAGTTGCCGGCCAGAAATGGTCGACACTTCAGCGGTTCGAGCCCAGCTCCGCACAGCAGAGCGAGCTCCTGCTTCCTCCCCAGCTCCTGCCAGCCCAGCAGCTCGGAAACTTATGTGTGTAGATAAATGGGTACTCTCACCCCAGTGGGAGGAAAAATGCTGGCGGTGCCTTGCACAGGTGATGGGGAGCAGTTGCTGGTAATGTGGAAGCCGCACACGCCCGAAAAAGGCATGAAGCAACGGAAACCCCCCCTCCTGCGCT